TCTTGAATTATGAGACAGAATTTTCTATAAGTCGTTAGGATTATATTTCTGTGCTTATAAAATTAATTATAATATGCACTGATGAGATAGAAGTATGTTATGTATAACAAATTTGCGTTAATACAGTTTAGTAAAATGCATAGCATACGATTTTTTTAAAAATTGTTTAAATTTGTTCCATTTGTCATACCAAATATTCTGCTACAACTAGAAAGGTAACTCTAAAAACAAAAAATACTATTGAAATGAATAATAAAAACTCTTTATTCACTTGCAGTATAAAAGTTCAAATATAGTGATAAATCTTGTTTTTTTTTTTCAAAAAAAAATTAATAAATTATGTTCAATTCATAGTAAATATAAAAACCCTATGTTCAAGATATAGCAGAAATTCCAAAAACTTATCATAAATTTGAAAAAAAAATTGCTAAAAACTGTAAAAGGTTTATTTTAAAATGCAGTTGGCAGTTTAAATAGTTTTGTTATAGCTTATTGATGTTAGTTATCGCAAACTATGCAGTGCATTTTACTTAAAAACTAATAATGAGTCAAATTGAATAAAAATAGGATTTTTTGTAATTTTAGTTAAAATTGATTTCTTACCTGAACAGCGCTGTTGAGAAAGCAATTATTTTGACCAGGAGCATTTCTCAAACCCTTGGCAGCGGCACCTGGTGTACCTTCCTGGTAGATTATCGCATCATCAGTCTGAAAATACATAATAGACTCGGTCAACTTATCATAAAATATAAATAAAACATTGATTTTAAGTAAATTAACTAAAACAAAAAAATGAATAGAAAGGTGTAAGTACTAAAATTCGACAAAAGAAATTAAATTTGGAGATTAACCACCAAACAAATGTACAAACCGTTTGATTAACGAAATTATAGATTTTTGAAAAAGCAATCCTGATTGGAGAAGAAAATTCAAAGTTTCTCAGAAAGTGAAAGTAAGAAAAGTGATTTAATATCTAATGTAGATAAATTATGGAGCATATAAAAAAATCATTTGATTAGGCTACGAATTAAAATATGACTAATAATATTTTGCAGTAAAAATAATATTTCTTTACCTGATTCCTCTGAGGGCTCGCACAATCCACTTGACAAATCGTCGATATTTGCTTAATCAGTGAAGAATCAGTCTCGTCAGAAAATCTCTCTAGAGTATTTTTAGATAAATTGTAATCATTATCCGGATATCCAATATCCTGATAATTCGAGAGATGTTGGTAGTTGTTCTTTTGATAGTTATAAACATTGTTGGATGAAACTTGAAGCCGGGCGCCTCCGTGGGTGTAATTGTTGGCAACTTGAGAACCTGGTGTGTTGTCCATTTTGAGATATAAGAAGTAGATTATCTCGCTATGTGAACTGCGAAGTGCGCCATCTAAAAGAAATAAGAATTTTGATAAGGATGTAGAATATTTTCGAAATTATATTTTTTTGTTTTGTGAATAAAATTAATTATCAATATTATTTGGGTTTGTCGTGGCTTAGTGCTAAGAGCTTCGGCTCTACATCTCGGTCAGCCTAATTCTTTAAAATGACTTTATTCTTTAAAACCAACATCCTATTAATCTTAGACATAATATATTTGCATAATGGTTTCACTTTATATTCATATTTAGATGTATTCATATTTATAGATGTATTAGATGTATTAGATGTATTAGATATACAAATTTAATTAAATAACAGAACAACCAAATATAGAAATACAAATAAAGGAGTGCTAAACTAATTTAATTTTGAGTCTTGATTTTATGAAACTTGATATTACATCTTCGTTTAGAGCATCTTCAAAAGTTGAGGTCCTGTATATCCATTAATTTGCAGAAATTATTTAAAAGTTTAAAAGCTTTTCTGAAAGAAAAAAAAGAGCAGTATCAGAGACGAAGAAAAATATTTCAAAGCTAAGTAATACTCAGTTATAGCCAAAAATTGCTGTATTTGTAAGATATCACATATAATCAGTAAACAATAGATATTTATGATATTAAGGGGATGGTACTGTATTTCTTGAAGTCAAAATTAATATATTCAGAAATGTCATAAAAACTGTTGGCTTTTAGTAAATTAATCAAAACGTTGTGGAATTTATGATTGCTTAGTTGACGTATTTGTAAAGGTAATAAATTGAACAGTTGAATACCAAAACCATCAATTGAATTCAAAGTAGTATTAAGCTTAAAAGTCGATCCTTTGATAGTTCTATTTCTTGTGACATAGTGGAATCAGACATGGAAGATAAATTAAAGTACTGGGATTATTTTTTATAAAGAGAAGTGTAATAAGTAGGAATATGTTAGGAACAGTAAGAATGTTATACTTCTGAAAAATATTTCTACAACTTGTCATCGAGTTAAGAGAGAACATGATTCTTAATGCTCTTTTCTGAAGTTTGAAAACATGTTTTAAGGATGGTGAAAAACCCCAAAATTGAATGCCGTTGAATTCAGCAGTATGTGATATCCGTTTTTATCATAAAATATAAATGCAAGATATGTTTTCATGTGAAAATATTTTTCCGCCAATGCTGCACCAAATTAAAAATATATCACCAGTATCAGTAATAAAAATATATCAAATACAAATACATCAACCGTTAGGTCGCCTTGTAAAAAGCGACGTTATTAGGAAGAAGCTTTATCACAACGGCTCTGTTTATTATTAAAATTGCCTTAAAACTGATGATTTTTAATTTGATCCAGCAATCTAAAAAAAGACTATTTTCAAAGGGATTTAACTACTACTTAATATGGTGGTGAGTATCAATCCTGGAACCTTCTAGTTCTAAGCCAAAGCTCTTACCACTGGACATCAGGGAAGCCAATAGGATCCAGAAATCTAAAAAAGGACTATGTTTACAAGAGATTTTACAACTGCTTCATATGATGGTAGGTATCAAATCTGGAACCTTTTAGTTCCAGCCAATTTGATTCAGCAATCTAAAGAAGGGCTATGTTCACAAGGGGTTTTACTACTGCTTGATATGATGGTAAGCATCTAACCTGGAACCTTCTAGTTCCAAGCCAAAGCTCTTACCACCGGACAACAGGGAAGCCAACAACTATTGCAATTATTAGGTTTTGAAAGATTGCTCAAACCATAGGAAAAAATATATAAATAAAGATAATAATGCATTATTTAATAACAATGTTAATTATACTATACGCGACTACTTACTATAAATAAAAGTTTCCATACATATACTAGTTACTAAAATAACTTGCTGATGCTGTTGTTGATTCTGCAACCCGATTTTGGAATTATTCTATTAGTATGGACTAAATTTTAAGGAGCTCTTATTGCCTCAATTGCAGAATTTCTTTATTAATTGTTTTTAATGTAATTATCTGTCACCCATCACCTAATAATTATTTTCTAACTAAATAACTAAACTTATAAAATTACTTTAAATATGAAATTTATTAGATTATATTTAACCTGATTTTTTTTTATTTTTTCTTTGAATAAAAGCTCTATGAGCTACTGAAATGATACTTCTCAGCGATTATTAGAAGGCAACCCTATGGATTTCCTATTATTTTCATGTTACTTTATACTAGAAGACAACACAATAGTTGTCTTATCTATTGTGATGTTATTTTATATTAGGAGGCAACCCAATCAAGTTGCTCTTTGTAATAGTAATTTTATAGTTTAACTTATTGCAGAAATGCTGCGAAAAGATGTTTTCACTTGGAAACATATTAGAATCATACCATACATTTTCAATTTAAAATGGTTTTCCCAAATGACTATATTTTTACAAATAAATAATTTGCATCCAAATGCGATTGTCAGAAACAAAATCCCCAAAAATTGTTCACTATAAAAAGATGCAAATGTTAAACAAAGTAGATATTATCATATTTAGATATCAGTATCAGATTTTGGTCCAATACAAAAGTTGATCCAGTTGGAATGCGCAGCTGTATATACCTGATCTAATTTCTAAACTAGATCTATTATATTAATCTGTTATTCTAATAGGAGTATGTGTGCGTGCTGAACTTTATACAGAAAGGTACACAGCGGTAGCAATAACCTCGTCTACACTGATGGATATATATATATATATATATATATATATATATATATATTTTGTATGATTCTGAATTTGATGTTGACATATGTATTAACAAAGTCTAATAATCGCCATAACATCAATAAAAAACATGAATTTCTTTCAAAAATTTATTTTAAATCCATACGTTTCGGCTATAATCCTAGCCTTCATTCAGTGGAAACTAAAAATAAAATTAAAAACTAAAACAATTGAATTGGAGTGAAAAGAAAAAAATAAAATAGTAATTAGTACTTACAATTAGTTGATCTTTGTGTTAGATTGGAAAATTTAATAATCCATGGTATTAGGATATGGTAATGCACTACACTATGTATTATAAACATTAACTTGAAATTACACAATATTTTCACAAAATACTGATTTGAAAAAATCACAAATGAATATTACCATATCCTAATACCATGGATTATTAAATTTTCCAATCTAACACTAAGATCAACTAATTTTAAGTACTAATTACTATTTTATTTTTTTCTTTTCACTCCAATTCAATTGTTTTAGTTTTAATTTTATTTTTTTTAGTTTCCACTGAATGAAGGCTAGGATTATAGCCGAAACGTATGGATTTAAAATAAATTTTTGAAAGAAATCCATGTTTTTTTATTGATGTTATGCCGATTATTAGACTTTGTTAATACATATGTCAACATCAAATTCAGAATCATAACAAATATTTTTCCTGGGCTGAAAAAGGATTCATTACTCTCAGTACTTTATACAAGATAAAATACTAAAATTCCAACTACACAATTATTATCCATGGAACCACTACGTCATTATAATAGGAAAATGGTCACTCTACAGCACAACAATTGGAGATTACAAGGAAAGCAAAATCATTTTGCAGATCACAACTTGTCATTTTTTGAATTTATTAGGCGCAATTACGGGTTTTACATTTTTCACAATTTAAAAAAATTTCTAAGCTCAATTCTAAACTTATCATAAATTTCAACAAACAAGTGTTCTTATTAAGATGTCGCAAAGAAAAAATTGTTCCTAATTTTACGAAATAGACATTAAAAAATTCCAATTCATTAGTAATAATTCCCAATACAATAGTTTACAAAAAGTTAGTTTAAAATACATTACACTCACAATTAACAGGTGTATCAAAATATTTGTAATTTTAGAAACACGATTGAAAAAATCACAAATTGGTTGTGTCGCACAGTAGAAATTGATATTTTTGAAAACTTTTTATATTTAGAAACAATTAGAAACAACAAACAGTTCAATAGTTTGAAACTTTCGTATACTAACAAATTTAATAAAACTATTACAAAATAAATTAGAAAAAACAAAATAATTTTAGATAAAAATATTATTGATAAATGGTTAAAAAATTATTCTTCTATCGACATACCAGACAGACTATTGTACATATTCGCTTTAGGACCCAATTTTTCAGTTCCTCCTACTTGTCGTAATTTTAACTTTATTAAATTGCTTAGTAATTTAGAATATGGATTACAACAAATTAAAGATCCGAAAACTAAAATTCACACGAGAAATCTTTTTTGTAAAAAATTCATCCAACATATTAATTCCTTTAATACTAAAAATACAACTTACGATAATATTCTTAGAGACCTTAAAGCATGCAAAATATTTCTCAAAAATCATCCGGATATAGTGGTCACTAAAGCGGATAAAGGCAACATCACTGTTATCATAGATAAACAAGACTATATAAATAAAATATCTGAATTATTACTTGACACTAATACTTACAAAATTACCAATAACGATCCAACTGACTACATAAACCGCACGTGCCATAAATTTTTAGACAAACTTACAACAAACAAACAACTAACAAAAGAGATAACTTCTGACCTGAAAAATTTACACCCATATTTTCCCAGACTTTATGGCCTTCCCAAAGTCCATAAAAATAATTTACCTTTTAGACCAATAGTTTCCGACATTAATACTCCCCTATATAAACTCTCAAAATACATAAGTAACATTTTGACTACAATAACAAAACAATCACCACACTACGTAAAAAATTCTTATGAACTCGTTACTGACTTAAAACACAAGATAAATTATATACCAAACAACTACAAACTAATTAGCTTAGACGTAGTCTCACTTTTTACTAATGTACCCCTAGACCTTATTTTAGACGCAATAACAATCCGATGGAATGAAATTTCCCCGTTGACTTCTTTATCTTTACACTGGTTCAGGGAAACTGTCAAGTTCATTGTCTCTAACACTTATTTTGAATTCAATGGCTCTTTTTATTATCAAATTTTGGGGCGCCAATGGGGTCCCCAGCAAGT